ACCACAGTCTCATGATAGCCTATAAACTTTCCAGTGCCATTTCTTCTGCCTTGCAAGGACAAAGAATATGAAGAAAAATATTGTAAAAGATACAAAAGGAACAAAGTCTAATGAATGACTATACTGAGGCTTTACCATACACTCCTTCCTACTGCCTGCTGTTGTTAACATCAACACTTAAGGCCTCACTTTAAAATACACACAGGTCCTAGATTATACGTTATTCCACTACATTTCTGACTGACTGTTTTCAAAGCTCTTATTTATCCCGATCATGAAATTATTAGAGAGACTCAGGCCTCCTGCATGTTTTTCTTTCTGCTCACAGTCTGCAGGGAGTTTTGTTATGGAATTTCATTTGTTAAACATGTGAGTGTGACGAAGTTGCTGAGGGAAGGTAGATCTGATGAAGTTGTTTTAAAATTTACTGTTAGGGTGTACAAATATCTCGCAAACCAGAAAATCTCTAAAAAAAGTTTCTGCAGAAGTCAGCTATTAAAAATTCTCTACTGCATACACATTTCTTCTTTTGATATTGGCAGTTTCTTTGATATTGTAGTTATGTAAAGTAACATCATTTGATCTCCTGGAAAACTTCAACCAATCAAAGGAACTCCTTTGAAGAAGACGACCAAAAGTTTGATTTTGATTCAATATTAAAAGCCACTGAAAAAAATAAAACATTGGCACAATGTACTTTCAGACATCAGTTAGTTGAATAAATTCATAGCTATGTTCTCATCTAAAATTCCATTCTATGATAAACAGTGTTGACAAATTACTACTGCTACAAAGGACAATTTTCACAGTAACTATAATTAGGGTGCATAGTATTTTTGTAACCAAGTTCTAGGTAATGGCTGGAGTTGACTGTGGTTTTTGAAGTCTTAATTCTTACAAAGTAAAAGCACTAAATATTTTGCAACTATTGGTACTAGTATTAGTTTCAAACAAAGCTATTGTTACATATTACAGCTCATGTTTCTTTAAAATACATTTGTAGAAAGTGTGCTGATACCAAGGTCCAAAGCATCTCTGTTTCCAAAAACTTCCAATTCTCCACAATTAATTTTTCCTCACTATTTAATGTTATAATTTCCCATGGAATGATGCAACCTACAACAGACTTCAGGAAGTTAAGTTTTTACTTACTACATTATCTCCACAGGCCTCCATCTTTAATTTCTTGATGTTTAAGGATGGAGGTATACTGTTTAAAAGGCCTCTCTGGATGCCTTATATTAGTATTTCTGTCAACTGTTAAGAGCTTATCTTTGATATTAATGCTGATATTATGTATTTGAATATGACACTCCTGCAATAAATTTTTGGTTTTGACTATTTATATTAAGCTCCATCCAAGTTTGTAGCATTTACTTCCCAAAAAGTCTCTCGCCGCGTTTCTTTTTTTCTTTCATTCTGTTCTACAACAACTGAAAATGGGATTCTAAGTCAAAAGGAATAAGACTACCTGTTTTTGTATGACAGAGCAATCAGTACACACAGCAAATAGGAGAGACATATTTGCACATCAATATGTAATTATACCGTAGTAGCTATATATTTTCAGCACCTTTTGTTAAAGCAATCCTACATATTGTTATGGAAGGTGTAATTTTATGCAGATTGAATCTACACCATTCATCACATCCTATTAGGAAGAATCTACTACTCATCATGTCTCTAAACTATCTGCTGAATTAACACTGGTGATAATTTAATATCAGTTTTGATAATCCACCTAGATCAATGTGTATTCTTGGCTTGACTAAGAGTTCCTCTGTTTACTTTGCAGTTAAATAGACAGCTTTAGCACATCATATCATGTTTCAGAGGATTTCAGGGTATATTATTTGAAATTTCTGGCAGACAAAGATTATTCCAAGTGGCTACAATTGCTGAAGCATGATGATTTATTTGTAAGTACAAGAAGGCTGAAAAAGCTTTTTCATCATACAGAACATAGTGAGAACTCAATCTTATTTTCCTCTTTTTTTTTTTTCCTTATCAGGACAAATTCCAGGCCTTCTAAAACTTTTTAAATTAAAGATAGGAAAAAAATTCTCAAAGAACCTCTTCAAAATAGTCACTAACTAACTGTGTGACTAGAGGGTTATATATGTGCGAATCTAAGGTTTAAAACCTATGTTCATCCACACTCCTAATTGTTCAAATCTTTCAACAAAGGTGCACTAAAAAAATAATTAAATATTCATTGATTCAGGGACTTCAGCATGACTCTCCCACATTCCAAAACATAGTTCCCTAACTATCGCAACAGAGAATCAAGCGTTGTTGGAAAATGTCACATAAAGTAAACCAGCTCCTTTAGCATATTTTGAGATAGATAAACCTTAAAATAGCCAATATCATGATCTGGTTCTTGTAAGAGATACGGGAGAACCAATTTCAAACCTGTAGCCTGAACCATGTAAAGAATGATACGCAGCATCAGTTCCAACAAATCAATATTTTCTGACCTCCCCAACAAAAAAGGCATATTTACCAATTCTACTAATAATTTTATCATAAGCTTTCTGAGAGTTTGAAGATGATTTTTTTTACATGAGAACAGAGTAACTTGACAAGGAGAAATCCAAGCTTATGCAACTTTGATAATATAACCTAAAGACCTCAGAGGCACCAAATGGGAAGAAAACAGCAGGAAGTGTACAGGAGGTGGAAGCAGGGACAGGCCACTTGGGAGGAATACAGGGACGTTGTCAGAGTGTGCAGGGATGCCACGAGGAAGGCCAAGGCCCAGTTGGAATTAAATCTGGCAAGGGATGTCAAGGACAACAAGAAGGGCTTCTTCAAATATGTCAATAGCAAAAGAAAGACTAGGGAAAACGTGGGCCCGCTGCTGAATGGGACAGGTGCCCTGGTGACAAAGGATACAGAGAAAGCAGAGTTATTGAATACTGCCTTTGCTTCAGTCTTCACTGCTAAGGCCAGCCCTCAAGAATCCCAGACCCTGGGGACAAGAGAGGAAGGCTGGAGAAAGGAAGACTCTCCCTTGGTCGAGGAGGATCGGGTTAGAGATCGTTTGTCCAAACTTGACACCCACAAGTCCATGGGCCCCGATGGGATGCACCCACGAGTGCTGAGGGAGCTGGCGGATGTTATCGCTAGGCCACTCTCCATCATCTTGGAAAGGTCCTGGAGATCAGGAGAGGTGCCTGAGGACTGGAAGAAAGCCCATGTCACGCCAGTCTTCCAAAAGGGTAAGAAGGAGGAACCAGGGAACTACAGGCCTGCCAGCCTCACCTCCATCCCTGGAAAGGTGATGGAACAGCTCCTCCTGGAGGTCCTCACTAAGCATGTGGAGGGCAAGAAGGTGATCCGCAGTACTCAGCACGGATTCCCCAATCTGATCATGATTCCCTCATCTCATAGCCTTCTCTGATGGAGTGACTGGCTGGGAGATGAGGGGAGAGCAGTGGATGTTGTCTCCCTGGATTTTAAGCAAGGCTTGTGACACTGTCTCCCAAGCAAGCTCAAGAAGTGTGGGCTAGATGAGTGGATGGTGAGGCG